AAAACTGCATCTACAGAGAGTGACTGCCCATTGTGGGTGTAAAACATACAGTGAAAACTTCTCTAGTCCCTCTTCCTCAAGAATGTCACCAACAAGCAGTTGTGGTGCTTTTGCTGGGGCGCTGAGTCTTTGAGGTCAGCTTCAAGTGTAGAGGGCACATGCACTATTCTGCTTCCAAACATAATCTTAGGCTGAATCCAGCCTCTGCTATGTCAAGGGCATTGATCTCTTGCTCATTTTTACAGCCAGACCAAATGTGAGCTTTTAAGAATAAATCTTGTTAGACGTTCCCATATCCCACACTTCCCAGAGTTACCACAAAGATTTCCCCTTCCTGAAGAACTCATTTCATCATCACTCTAAAAAAATTCTCTGAAAAAATGCCAACTTCAGGCAGGAAAAAACCCAAAATGCCTTGAAACCAAGCAAACCACCCCCCCCAAAAAAAAACCCAAAAAACCCAAAAAAAGACAAAAAACCCAAAAAACATATTTTATCTCAATATATCATGGAGTGGGGTTATTTCCAGTGAGTTGTATTCTCAGTGTAGCTTAGTTTGAGCAGAATAAGGCTGTTTTACACCAGCTGAAAATCTGATTCCTTAGCTATAGCAGTGTGACTGGGTGCTGTTTTCTAATCAAATAACCACTGTGAAATACCTGATTCACTTTGCACCCAACAGCTGTAGTTACAGTCTGTGTTCCCAGTCACAGTCTGAAAACAAGCACAATAAGAAAGGCTGAAACAGCTGCAACTTCTCAGCAGAAAAAAAAAAAGAGAAGGGGAAAAAAAAGTTTGTTGTCAGGCTGCAGCTTAGGAAGGAAGTAAAACCATTTTTCTTTTCTGTCTCATGCATGTCAGCTGTCCTAGAAAAATTATTACTGGTCTGTTTTGTAACAGAAACTCCACAATATTTAGTAAACTACAAACTCCAATCTATTCATGGCCAAATACAGATTTGACATTTCAGAGGCAGCCAAAACATGCTCAGTATGTGAATGGGCTGCAATACTTTTCAGGAGAGATCTGGAATTCACCTCATGGCCCTAATTATCCTCCTTAGAAGAACACATGCATCTTCTGTATTTGGACCATCCAGATTGATTTTATATTAGTTCCAGATTTTGGCTGAAAAAAACCAAACATTTAGTGAAAGAGGCTCTATTTACTTTACAGTATTAGTGCTTTCCAAAGCTGTTCAAATGAATAATTCTATTTTATCAAACTAAAAGCAGAAAACAACAGGTGAGTATTCCTTGGTTGGATAAAACATACTTGCATGCTTTTCCATTTTGATTATTACTGGTTTTTTTAGAAAGCTTTTTAAAATAAATAAAATGTGGGCTATGTTCTGAGTTGGATCATTAACAATTCTCATGGGTAATGCTATAAACTTTGGGGGAATCACTTGTAAAGTTAGGAACTATTCATTGTGATACATCCCTAAATACATCAAAAGCCCAGAATCTGGTAGCCATCACCTACAGAAGGAAAAACCTACATGTAAAATCTGTTGAATTTTGCAGCAATCCTGTGCTATCCCTGAGGTAAAGAGATAAAAAATAGATGGAGATAGAAATAAGAGTTGGAGACAAGAGAAATGTAGGAAGGTAGAAAAAGATAAGCAGAAGAAAAGCAAAAGGAGACTGAAAGATGACAAGAAAGAGGAAAGAAAAAAAAAGACAGAATCAAGTGGTTGGCTGCTGATCAAGTGTAAGCAAGTATAATGGGGGTATATAAGAAACATTTTCAATGAATTTCTCTCAGGTTCAGTAGCTTGCTGCTGCACCTACTGGCTTCCACAGCACAGGCCTGGAGCTTCAACACAGTTTAGATGACAAGATCACTAGTTTTTCAAGAGGTCCCCCCTCCCAAACCGTTTCATAATAACTAAAAGAAACCCTAAATTAATACAGTAAAAATGTGATTCAAATGTTCATAACTTTCACCAAACTGCTGCATATCTGGACACTTCAGGGTGCTGTTGTCAAAGACAGAGATACTGTACCACTACCTCTTTTAATCTCATGGATGGCTGCTAGAACTGAAATTTATGTCAGAAATGAAATTGTCTAAATATAGCAAGGTTTGGTATTTCAAAGAAGATACAACATGAACTGTGTGCACTTGAAGGGCTGAGCTGATTTTCTAAATATAGAAAGCTATACGTGAATATTTTTTCTTTTGCTTTTAAATAGTTGGCATGATGATATGTTCTCAAAATACTAACACAATACAACCAGTTTTAAAACAGGTTCCCTGATAGGCAGAATTTTGTAACTAATTTTCTCTGAAAGCATACCTGTGTCTGAAGTCAGCTTTGAATAGCTAGAAGTTACAAAGAAATTGCACAGGAAAATTCAATATTTGCTTGTACAAAGACTGAAAAATATCAGTGCAAATGATTGTGCAAAAGTGAGATGTATAATAAATGAAGAGCTGAGGACTCTTTGTGGTATGTTCCAACAGATTTGTGAATAAAACAAAAAAGAACATTACATTTCTTTGGTATGTGGAAGTCTTTGGGGATATATTTTTGATTAATTAAGCAATTGTTAGATTATCCTCATTTTTTTACCCATTTTACTTCAGTAATGGTCGTATAATAGCTTAATTTTTAATGATCTAAATCTCATTGCAGTTAATAGTTATATTTCCATAGAAACACTACAAATCTGCTTCAGTTGGGCATTTCCTAATGAACATGTTTAAAAGCACTTCCTAGATTGCTATGAGAAAAAAGAAAGCTGAGAGAACATTAAATTCTGCAAAAATCTGTGTCTGCTGTATCCTACAGATCTGGTATCCCTTTCAAAATAATTTAAAAACAAAACAAATACTAACTTTTTATCTGGAGATAGTATCATTAAAGGTAGTCAGTATGCTTATTCTCTTGCTAGTTGCACCCAACCCTCAAAGAAAGAGCTATTTAGTACAATATGAGCCCAATGCTGACTTCCCCCTGTAGCTGAAGCCAGTCTGATTCAATGATGAGAATATTTCTGCTAATGGCCATGTGCAGTTTACACAATAGCCTTTTCTTTTGATCTGTAACTGAACCTGGAATGGGAAATGTATTCTGGAAATATTTAATTGTTCCTTGAGTTGGGCAAACATCTGAATGAAGTGTGTGCTGCAGGATTTGAATGAATAATTTAAAGAATATTATAAATAAAAATAACGCTCCCTTGTGCTTTCTACCAAACCTTCCTAAAAGCTTTGTGACAGCCCAGAAGTAATGCTGGGAGTAAGAGAGTAGTTGTTATTAATTGTATTTTGTAGATAAGGAAATTACTTCAGAAAGGTTAAACAAATTGCTCATTTCGCTATGTGAATCAGTGTCTGCTTTCAAGAACAGTGCTCACTGTGTAGCTCTTAGCATTTGCCTTTCCTGCACAGAAGACAAACTGCAGCTTAAATTTACCAAAGTCATCATGGGAAGTTAAGGTAAAACTGTCAGTGTTGTCATTTAAAGTTTTGTTAAATTTTTTTGAGGGGAGAGGGGAGAAAGAGAAACATGATTTTCCCTACTTTTTCATCTGTCCTTTGTGGCAAATCACTTTGAACTCCTTGCCTGTAGAAGCATTACAGAATTTGCATTATGCAGCTGGTTCTGTGTCCAGTCTGTGCAGAAGACTGGAGGTATAGGATTCCCTTTATCCAGGCAGAGTGCATATACTGATGACAATATATAACCCTATGCACTGCATATGGCAAGAAACTGAGGGGAAGAAAGAGAAGAAAGGAAAGGCATAGTCCCATTAAAGTCCCATTAAAGGCTACATGTGCCCAAGTATTTTCTAATGGAAGGTTATGGGAAAGGGGAAAACTGGAATGGCACAGCAAATGATGGTCTTCTCATTAACTTTGATGACACTCTATAGCCTACAGAACAAGAAGGCCAGAAGACTGTCAATACTTCGGGGAAGTTTTCTAGAAGACAAATAGTAGTGGCAAATTGAAATAACACAGGTCCTTGGGTGCAAGACGGATCCAGGCTGAGATGCACATCCAGGCTGGACTCTGTGGCAGCTGGAGAAGCCAAGCTCTCCAAGGATGATAGTGCTTGAAATACAACGGGTGAACACAAACTGTTTCATCTTTGTCTTCTGGTGTTTGATTTTGACTGCCAAGATTTTAAAAGATTGCTGCATGTATGTGTTATATTTATTTCATTAGTCACCTACAAAGACGTCATGTAGTATAATCTACCTGTCTAGATTAGTTATTTACTTAGTGGAGGGAGACAGACTACTCAGAAGGGTGATTTATCACTTTTTTATGAAAAATTTGTTTCAGGACAGGAAAAACTGCAATCCAAAAGAACAGAGTGAGACAGGCGTGAGCAAGAGCCTGAAAATCTAATACACATTCAGAGAAACTTGAAAGTAGGTGGAGAAGGAGCTAATCTCAATTCTACAGCTGTGAGTCATAGGCTATGGGTACACTAGCAAGAAATTGGGTGCCAGAGGAGTGTATCAGTATATAGAAACAACTAATGCTCAGGCTGCTGCTTCTACATTATAAACTGTCTTGGCATATTACATTGAATAGATTTAATCTGATCCTCCAAGAGTAAATGACCATACAAAGTGTATTTTTGAAGCTGTTTGAATAATCAGTCACCGTTTTAGACCATTCTGCCCCAGCTGGGGTTGAGACACATTTGATGTCTATCCAAGACAGTGCTGTCAGTTTAGTCTTCTTTGAAAGAACTCTTGTTTGTATGGACCAAAAATGTTCTGTGAACTAAGACAGCTGGAGGAGATCATGGTAGAATTTGCTCCTTAACCACTGCTCCAAACCACAAACTCCAGGTAAACACTGAATGCTCTATTAGACATCTTGTTTATAGTCCAGAAGCTGTATTTTATTTGGTAATTTCAATTTTCTAATGCCCTTTAAACAGGGGTAATAATGCTCCTCCCTTTTCACCATCCTGCTAAACTCTAGTATTTTTTTTTGTTGTGAAGTTATTGTAGGAACAGGGTGATATTTACCTGCATGAAGCGGCCCTCTGAAGTTCCCAGATTAGCAATGGTAAGGTTCCCTTTGGTGAAGACGGAGATTGAAGTTAACAGGACACTGTTGAACTGGCCCATGAACAAGTCAACCCTCTGCAGAGGAGTTGTAACTTCTAAGCGATATTCATCATCTTGTGCTCTGCAGTATGAAGCGTTCCTTGAAAAAGCCTGTTTGAAAATGAAGTACAGATGAGTACTGTCTTTATGAGTAGCAATAGATCTTTGTCAGAATGAAGTCATTTAGCACAAATGCATTCGACCAAAAGTATTTTAAGATGTTTCAAACTTAATTGCTTCATCAGTTATGATGTTTCATGAGGAAGGCAAAAACTTCTTAATGTTATGGGAATGTTTCTATTAACTTTTAAAATCATGTCTGCAGGAATAAGACATAGGGTCTATATTTAACAAGATGATATGTGTATAAGCACATATATCAAGGTATCCTTTCTCAACGACTTCCTTAATGCTGCTGCTCCAAGAGTCTGAGAATCCTTGTACTGCACAGCCTGCCCACTGACACACCTACAGCTAAAACAGTTTCTTAGAAAAAGAATCTCTAACAACAACTTGATTCTTTACATTAAAATAACAATTTCCTATATTCTTCTCCCTCTATTTTCACTACCTTTTTCAGACATAAGACACTAAAGTGGAAAAGAAGCCAGAGAAAGAAAAGGGAGATAAGTTAGGAAAAATCGGTTTCTGATTGTATGTTTAAATGAAACTATGGAGAAGACAGATTTTAAAAATTTCACAGATTACTATATTGATCATCTATGGTTCATGAACTATTTCATCTGATGTCTATATGTCTTGAATGTACTAAAATAATAGCTGCATTTGTAGGATTTTCTCTTTCATTTTGGGACTAGAGATTGCATGTTTTTAATTTTCATTGGAAAAAGTCTTGAACAATACACTTTAAGTTATCTCTGAAGAAGAATATAACCTCCTAACAATCCAATAGTAATCTATTAACTGGTAACTTCATTACTATTGATATTACATCATCTGTTTTGGGGACATTGTAATAAGCAGGAATCCCTTAAAGGATCTTTAACCAGTTTAAATTTGGAAGTCATGTAGCATGTTCCTACTGTGACATACTTAATGAGTAAACATTTAGGAAGATTATAAAGGATCTTGTGGTGGTTCTCTCTGCTGAAATCAATAGTGAGCTTAATTTCTCCTAGTTTTTAATTGATTTATTTTTGTCACAAACATGTTTTTAAAAATCTTTTAAGAATCTTGAAAGAAACATTTTCAACACACTCAGGAGTCTTTTTACTAAGTCAAGTAGATCTGCATCAAATTCTTAAAGAGCATGGAGGAGTAAAATTTTATTGTCTTCTTTTCTAGATTCAGATGTCTTTCCTCAAAGTATGAAAAAGAAAGTAATGAATGAAGAATTTCTTGTTGGCCTAACTGGTGAATTCTGGACTGAAACCCAAGGCATTGAAAATACTATCAACAAAATATTCGGTCCACCAAGTAGCTCAGCCCTTTGCTGTTGAATTGTGATGTTCCTGAGCTGAGCCCAGCAACAGCACTGGCAGGTGAGGTTTTCTGTGGTCCTTAGGAGTTGCAGTCAGCACTGGTGCCAGCTTTTCTGAAGGTGCCCTGTCAATTTACTGAATCATTTAGGTGAAAGCCTACATCAGAACAAATGAGCAGTTGAAATATCTGTGCAGTGTCTTAATGATACAGAAAAAGGAGTTCTAAATTAGATCTGGTACAGCAGTGATTTAACAGTTTGGTTATCCACATACTAAAGGTTTTACTGTATTAGTTGTCTTATTAACTGTTAATATACAGTGTATTTTGTTCAGCAGGAACTGAACTAATACTTTGAAGTAGGAACACACTTTAAGTACTTTTTAACCCAGTGTTTGACTGGGTTAAATCATCAATGGGCAAGCTTAGCTTTTCTTTGTTATATTCTGTTGCACTCATATCCTACCCAGTCTAAAAGTATTTCTGGAACATCTGTGCAGATTACTCATACAATGAGTGAATAGTTCAAGTGCAGAAAGATGTACAGTTTTCATGGTTTTTGAAATAAAGCAGATTTCTGATTTTACCCTCCCCCAACATGGGATCTTTACTCTTTCCTGTAGCTGCTTTTTTTCCATAAGAAAAGACTTTGGAGAGAGATGCTTCTGTGCTAAGCTTAAAGTAATTCCTCCTACATAGTCATTTCAGTGCAATTCAAACATCCTAACATACTGCTATTGGAAAAAGTGGCTAGATTTCCCTGCTTGCCCTGACACTTTTCTTAGCTTCTCCAAAGTCAGCTCAGGCACAAAGTCAGCTCAGCCTTCCTCAAAGATGCCATAATTTTGTCTGTCTTCTGAAGAACCTGCAGATTGTTATACATATGGTTCTTACAAAACCTGGCTTAACCATAATGTAGGGTTGGCTGTTCAAGAAATAGGAAGGCTTTGATCTTTGAGTAGAAATGTAGAGATTAAAAGGCTACTTAGAAAACTAAAGGAAGATTGATAACAGGAAAAACTTTGTCAAAGATGCTGCTTTAAATTAACACTTTTAAGCCTGGTTCTCTCTCTCTCTCTCTCTCTCTCTCTCTCTCTCCCTCCCTCCCACCCTCCCAGTATCCACATAACTATCCATTTGGCTGTCAATGTGGAAAAATAACTGATGTCAGATGATGCACTCCGGATATTATGCCAAGTTCCACTGAGGAATCACACAACTATTGAAATGGACGATTAGAGCAGGGGTAAGTGCTTGGGTTCAGCTATACTGCTTCTCTTGTAGGACAAGAGGTGCCAATTGTGTGTGTGATTCATAGAGAGGGCTTTGTTACTGTTAAGCTGGCACAGGTGTGCTGCTGGAATGCAGTGAGGTGTGAGCAAGCCCTGCCTTACAGCTGTGTCCAGAAGGCTAGAAGAAAATTAATGTTATCTTATTTGTTCATACGGAAGTTGTGGTAATTTGGAATTTACCCTTGATTTGGTCCACAGAAGACAAATATGCCAAAAAAGTCTCTAGACATCGCTGAGCTGAGCTATAAGGAGCTGTCATTGTTTTGCAGCTAACTCGTGGTTTATATGTCATATTCAGTGAGTATAAAAATAAAGTATTTCAGACAGAGTTGCACATTTGAAGCCAGAAGTGCAAAGTGGGGAAGGAATTCTTATGGAAACTAATGAAAAATCTCAGAAAAATACCTGGTTAGGTCTGTGTCAAAAAAATGATCCAAAAGTCTAGTCTCTAGTCTGAATACTGTACCCAGGGAAAAAAAAATCCAAATATATTTTTGTGAGCTTTTCTCAAATTTGCAGTGACTGCAAATTGGAGAAACACTCCTCCAAGCTTGTTCTTCTAGAGATGGTCAAAACCTGCTCTTCGTTAAGTGCAGTGCTCATACAGAAAGTGATATTATGTATAATGTCTTGATATTATGTTTAATGCCTTGAATAAACTGGAAATCAATGACTTAATCACTGCAGAACATTTCATACTGTCTTGTGAGCCACTTGGAGGACATAATTAAAATCAAAATTTAATTTGACAAATTGGAGAAATGCTCTGAAAGTAACTAGGTGATATTTCACCTAGTGTCAATCATAAAATACTGCAGTTATGATGTAAAGCTCAAATGAAAGTAGGAATATGCATGAGTTTTATTCCCTGCTGGTTTGTTTATATGACTTTAAACTTGTTGGCTGTCAAGAATCAAAATTCTAAGTATCAACTTTTTTTCCTGCTATGAACTCTGGGATTCTCTCTCAAGAGAAGTGGTCACTACAAAAGCCAAGAGCATTTCTCCTTTCATAGAATCAAAGAATCCCTTAGGTTGGAAAAGACCCTTAAGGTCTGCAGCATAACATGGAGTAGGAGACATAAGCTATTGTTAAATGACCTGCATCCAGATGTCTGCAAATGGCAACAATCTTTTTCCAAAGAAACTGCTGCAGAGTTTCTCAATGAATAAGTGATTCTACATAACAAATTGGTTACCAAGACCATTAAAAACTAAGAGACTGTATAAGTTCCTTTTCTCTTGTGGAAGTCAGTGAATGAAGATGAATAATCAAACTATAGTTTTCAGAGTGGGTCCATTGGAACCAAACACATAATGGTGAAGAATTTACATGTACAGCAGACTGAACGGGAAGAGTAACCATGAGGAACACCGAAGAACTTTATTATTTTTTCCTCTCTAAATATTTCTATGTATTTTCAGCCAATATAGCTTTGCTGTTCTTGATACAACCTGATTTTCTGGGTAGTTTGCATTATTTCTCTTCAGGTGAGAAGTGCATTTGATCACTGCTTCTCTCTGTTGAAAATACAAGAATGTAATTCTGGCCCAAATAATTCAGTGAAGCCAGGTATTTTTCTGAGGATGACAGTGACTTGATCATCATCATGGTAATGATGATTCTTGCAATCCTAAGGAAGGGAAAAATTAATCATATTGAAGGCTCAATTTTGCCAGTGGAAGCCAATTCATGTGCTAAACAGTCCCATGAAAGCCACAAGGCTTCTGGTTTCTTCTTGACTGGTGAACAACACCTTGAGGGTGTGTGAGTGCTGTGAACTCAGTCCAGTGCTCATGCAGGACAGAACCTGTCTGGGACAGGGGACTGGGTTCTCTATTTCTAAGAATTTCTGCTGAGGCAAGAAGCTTTACTCTAAAAGGTAGAAGAGTTTCTTCCTCTTTTTGTTGTAAACAAACAATTGTTTCCCTCATCTTCCTTCCTCCTCTTCCCAATAACTCTCATCTATTTGAAAGCAATTCAAAGATTTTTATATGGAATACAGAGAAAGCATGTCCCTTTCTGAGAATAAAATTTTTAAAATAACTCCATCAGTGTAAAATTTTACAGAGTATCATTTCAGTAACTCTTAATACTTGTTGCTTTGATCTCCTCCTAAAATGAGATGGGGGAAGGAAGTCACTGTACTGATGCTCCACTTAAGGCAATAGGTAAAAAACATCTATGTTAAATGTAATTAGTTAATACAAATTAAGATGATTTCATGTTCTTTTGTCAAGATCATTCAAAGAGTTATTTGCTTTTGTCATTGAACAGTACTGCATTAGTTCTCATAATCTGGTTAGTGCATTAGCACTAAGTAAATCCTATTGATTCAGCAGACAAAATGGACCTAAGTAATCTTTGTATTTTGCTGAT